AAATAGAAAAAACAATCATGAAATCCATCTGGAAAAATAAGAGACCCAGAATAGCCAAAGCAATCCTTAGCAAGAAGAGTGAAGCTGGTGGCATCACTATACCAGACCTTAAACCATACTAAAGGGCAACAGTAACAAAAACAGCATGGTATTGGCACCAAAATAGATTTGTAGACCACTGGTACAGAATAGAGGACACAGATACAAACCCACATAAATACAGTTATCTCATACCAGACAAAGGCGCCAAAAACATATATTGGAGAAAAGACAGCCTGTTCAACAAATGGTGCTGGGAGAACTAGAATCCATATGCAGCAAAATGAAATTAAGCCCCTATCTCTCACCATGCATAAAACTCAACTCAAAGTGGATCAAGGACCTAGGAATTAGACCAGAGACCTTGTATCTAATAGAAGAAAAAGTGGGCCCAAATCTTCATCATGTTGGATTAGGCTCAGACTTCCTTAACAAGACTCCTATAGTGCAAGAAATAAAATCAAGAGTCAATAAATGGAATGGATTCAAACTGAAAAGCTTCTTCTCAGCAAAAGAAACAATCAGTGAGGTGAAGAGAGAGACTACAGAAGGTGAGCAAATTTTTAGCACATGCACATCAGATAGAGCAGTAATCTCTAGGATATATAAAGAACTCAAAAAACTTAACACTAAAAAAATAAATCACCCAATCGATAAATGGGCTAAGGAACTGAACAGACACTTCTCAGAAGATATACAATCGATCAACAAATATATGAAAAAAATGTTCAACATATCTAATGCAAATCAAAACTACTCTAAGATTTCATTTCACTCCAGTCAGAATGGCAGCTATTAAGAATACAAACAACCATAAGTGTTGACGAGGATGTGGGGGAAAAGGCACAATCATACATTGCTGATACAACTGCAAATTGGTACAACCAATCTGGAAAGCAGTATGAAAATTCCTTAGAAAACTTTGAATGGAACCACCTTTTGACCCAGATATCCTACTCCTCGATTGATACCCAAAGGTCTTAAAAACAGCATACTACAATGATGCAGCCACATCAATATTTATAGCAGCACAATTCACAATAGCTAAATTGTGGAACCAACCTAGATGCCCTTCAATAGATGAACAGATAAAGAAAATGTGGTATATATGCATAATGAAATATTACTCAGCATTAAAAGAGAATAAAATCATGGCATTCACAGGTAAATGGATGAAGTTGGAGGATATCATGCTAAGTGAAGTAAGCCAATCCAAAAAAACCAAAGGCCAAATGTTTTCTCTGATATGTAGATGCTGATCCATAATGGGGGTGGAGAGGGCATGGGAGGAATGGAGGCACTTTAGATAGGGCAAAGGGGAGAGAGGGGAGGGGAGGGGGAAGGGAGGGGGCACGGGGTGGGGAGGTAGGAAAGATGGTGGAATGAGATGGACATCATTACCCTAAATACATGTATGAAGACATGAATGGTGTGAGTCTACTTTGTGTACAACCAGAGACATGAAAATTGTGCTCTATATGTGGACTATGAATTGAAATGCATTCTGCTGTTGTGTATTACAAATTAGAATAAATAAATAATTTTTTAAAAAAGAGACAATGGAGCAATATCTTCAGAGTTCTGAGAGGAAAGGACTTATTATGTACACCTCTAATGCACTAATGAAAATATCAGGGTTTATTTTGACATGATGAAAGTAATTGAAAATAATTTGCTCCAATTCAGTTCCTAGTACTTCCTCTTTCCTTTACCCCTCCCTCCCCTTGTTCCCTTTCCTCTACTCTTCTGGTCTTCTATTTATTTAGAGTCTTCTTTTAAATTAGTGCACTACAGATACACATAAAGCTAAAAACTCACTTGGTACTAGTCACATACGTACATGGGACAGTTTGGCTGGTTTCTTTCCACTGTTCCTCCCACTTCTGGTCCCTCCTCCCTCCCCTTTAATCCTCTTCTTCAACTCCACTGACATCTCCTCTCTTTTCACGGGATTTCCCCTGCCTTCCTCCATTCCCCTTTCCCCTGTTTTTGGTCTTCCACATATGAGAGAAAACATTCAACCCTTGACTTTCTGGGTTTGACTTATTTCACTTACCCACTCAAACTGCCACTGAATTGTGAAATGAAATGAAATGCTTTGGCAAGTTCCCAAAAGTTTTTTGAGGATAATTACCAAAAAGAAATTGAAGAAACAGACATGAGTACAGGGAACACTGATGAGCAAACAGGTAAACTTAGAGATAAATTTACATAATTGTTTATAATAAGATGATTAATAAGAATTCAGAAGGAAAAATCCCTTGATCTCCAAACTGGACATAGTGGGGCAGGAGATGCAGAGGAAGAGTGTGCCAAGGTCCTAGTGGGAGAGGCAGGAGGGCATGTGGGGAGAATGGGGTGGGGCAGGAACATGAAGTTTAGATATTGAGAAGATTCCTATAGGTTTAAAGATCCTAATTTAAACTGAGGGGTTAATACACAGTGAACACCTGGAAGGAGAAAATGAAAACAGCAACGATGAAGAGCACGGTCAAACCAATGGGAGGCAAGAAAAGAAAAATATATATGTACAATAAATGGAAAAATTTAGAGAAGAAAGAGCTTCAAACAATGTTAGAGGAATTAAAATAAGTAAATTAAAGTAGCCTGTTAAAGATCAGGAACACTATGTTGGCTAAAGAGGAAAAGGTGAGCTATATTTTGTCAATCAGACTCACAACCTGAACACAAAATGTCACAAAGCAATTGAATGATAGAGAAATATAAATCAGACCAAGATTAGTAGGAAAAAAATTGGAGCACAAAGAGTTTCAGGAAAATGGAATATAGGATGAAAAATAATAAAAAGGACAAAGAGGATATTTCCTATGGATAGAATGCTCTATTCCTACTGATATGACCCTCTAGGACCAACTTGAGCTACCTGATCACAATTCTTGCCTGACATTTTTGAAATCTTATCATTAGAGTTGGGTGTCCTTGTCAAGTTAATGAACAAAACAAAGCCACTGCTTTCATGGAGATTTTGTTCTGGAAGAAGCAGGTGGGCACACACACACACACACACAAACTAATAATCAAACTATATGGAATGTCAGTGGTAATAAGTGCTAAGTGTTGAAAGGAAGCGTAGCAGGGGTGTCATTTTTAAATGGGGTAGCCAAGGAAGACTTCACCAGGAAAATGGTCAAAGACTTTCCAGTTGCTGAGGAAGGAACCATACAGACTTCTGAGGGAAGAGAATTTCAGGCAGGGGGGACAGCAAGAGCAAATGGTCACTGAATATAAAGTTAAATAAATTAACTATGGAGGGGCTAGTGTGGTAAGTGGGAAATCAGGAGTGTAGCATCAGAAGCCAAGTGAAGACGGTGGAATAATGAACTGTGTCAAAACAGCAGGTGTGCCAAAGAGCAGGGGGACTGACAAAGGCCATGATTAAATTTAGCAAACAGAAGCCACAGCTGACTGTGACAAAAACAATCTCAGGGGAGCACTGGGAACCCAAATCTAAGAACTGGGCGTAAGAGAGAAAATGGAATAGCGAATACAGTCAACCATTTCAAATGGATTTGCCATAAAGAAAAGCTGAGGAGAGGGCAGGGCCTGGAGCAGGCGGTGGGATCAAGGTGGGAGAGAGTCAAGAGTGGGAGGGAGAAGACCTGGGCATCCACGAAACAAACGAGGTTCCCTCCAGAATAATATTAGGAAGTTTCAAAATAAACATGAGAGCAGCCACCTGAGAAATCGCCTAACACAAATGATTACTGAAAGGAAGGGAATTTAGAAATGCTTGAGATTCAATCAAGGAAACCAGATCTAAAGAGGATTGTGTTATAACTGGATTGTGTTATAACTGAAAGAAAGCCTACACAATTGTACTTTACCCATGAAGGAAGACAGGACTAAAAGACAAGGACTCAGTTTGAGCAAGATTCATAATAGGAGTTTGAGAGACAAAGTAAAGCAATGTATTTCCAGCAATGTTTACAAAAAGAGGATACTGATGAGTGAAATTGAATTTGGGTGCATTTATAGATATATTTTTCATCTTAATTGTAAAGATGGATGTGTTGGGGGGTTATTAGGTCATTAGGATTATCCATGTGATTTCAGGATCAGAAAGCAACCTTATTAGTGGAGTTTTCCATGTAGATTCCCTACAAGAAGACAGCGTACTTATCAGGGGGCTTGAGTGTCTAATCCCAAGGGGATTTAGCCAAGCTATATTAACAAATTGTCATTCTGATTTATTCTATATTTTCATGAGAGTTTGGTTCTAGTAGTCAGAAGCCTGGAACTGTCTGGATATATAAAAGCAAATGGACCAAGCCAGTCATTAGTAGGCCTCTCAAATGCCAGCCATAAACCAGGCGAGGCGGTACACGCCTGTAACCCCAGCAGCTTGGGAAGCTGAGGCAGCAGGATTGGGAGTTCAAAGCCAGCCTCAGCAACTTAGCAAGGCCCTGAGCAACTTAGCAAGGCCTGGGCAACTCAGCAAGACCCTGTCTCTAAATAAAAAATAAAAAAGGCTGGGGATGTGGCTCAGTGGTTAAACAACCGGGCTTCAATCCCTGGTACAAAAAAAAAGATAAAAAAATGCCACACATACCTTATTCCTTGTCCATCTAACCATATGCTTGAAATATTGAACTAAGGAAGGGGCACTGGAGTAACAACTAGAAAACGATCTAGGTCTCTGCCACCACTAGCCTGGCAACCCCATCCGGTGAGTGCCATCCATTCCTGTGGTCCTCAGTTCACGTTGTCTTTGCAAATGGGAGTAACAATAGCTATTCTATCACAATGATTTGTTTTGAGGCTCAGAATTTAAGTTTAAAACAAATGGCTATATGAACAGAAGATATTAATGCTCTCATCATTACATGCCCTAAAGCCTGAGTGTATAATTGGTATACTGAAGCACATTACCACAATTATCCGAGAATTGAAGACAAGATGAAAAACCACGAACCCACTGAAGAAAATCTGGGAAATCCTACCTCTCAGCAACTGGTTTGGCAATGTTTTCAAAAATGATCTCTTGCTTTGCATCTTGATCAAAAATCCTCTGAAATCTGCAATGTGAAAGTGGTAATTATTTAAATGCTGTGCCTTCAAACACTATTGGATTAATAAATTTTGTTTTTCTAAAGCTTTGTAAGTGACCCCACATTTACATCATCAGACTTACCTAACTTAACACAATGTTTGTCCTGTAGTTCCACCACACTGTGCTCTTGTACTCCTGTATACAAATGGTGGGTAAACAGTATTGCTTTGACAAGATCTGCACAATAAATCCCTCTGAAAAGCTGCAGCAGCTTTGAACCAAATAATAAACTGTGTGTTTTTTAGCTCTCAAGAGGGACAGTGTCTACAATTGGCATCAAATTCAAATTCAGATAACTGCATGAAATGGAAACCCAAGAACAGGATGTAAACAGCCAAAGAACTTCTGATGTCTGACCTGTGAGAAAATGGGGGCAACTGTGAATTGTATCATTATTGAATTTAATTTTAAAATTAAATTGAACTGAAGTTTATGTTTCACTAATTAGGTACTAAAATCCAGTATCAACAATGTCAATTCTCAAGATGGCGCTGTTTCATTTTATTGACCAAGATTCAAAAGTCAAAAAGTAAACTAAGATATATCTGTTCTGCAAAGAGAAGTCTTTATTAAATTGGCAGTGACCGGGGAATGGGAGATGGTGTGGTGTCAGTTTCACTCTTCTCCGGTGCCACTCTGATGAGTACAGGATTGCAAGCACAGTGGAATAATTTGAGTAGGAGACACATCTATTCTTTTGCAGTGAAGTGAGGTGCTACCAGCATGTATAGCCCCCATGAAAACATCGCAATAATGAGAAGAGGGAGGCGGGCTGGGAGGGGGGACAGAGAGACCAACCAAAATGTTAGCAAAGGGTGAATCTCCCACAAAGAGTATATGAATGTTGACTGGGTTGTTCTTCTACCTTATATATTTAAATTTTTTCGAAATAAAAGTTGTAGAGATGAGAACTTTAAAGCAAAAATTTTAAAATAAACACTTTGAGGACATCCTAAGCAACTCTCGGGGAGACACAGGAACTTCTGGACTACATGCCTGTGTACTCAAGTAAATTGGCATGTGTTCAATCCAAGTGGAGACTATAGGTGACATGCAAACCTGTTTCCACTGCTGGGAACTGCAGAAGAGTGTCTAGAGATGGAAATATAAAACCGGAAATATAAAACGTTAAGAAATTTGTCTTTATTGCAGGAACCTCTGGTCTACATTAAATTTAAAGGATCCTTATAGCTGAACCACATTTGTTTTTGAAAAGTAAATAATGAACTACACAAGGAGATATTCTAAGGCATTTCTCAGGCAAGGTGATTTTAGACAGCAGTCTTTACTGTTCAATGTGCTCAGACCACTCCTCAAAACCTGGCAGGTGTAAAACAGCTTTAGATATGAGCACCAGCATTATAGAGAGGTCGACATAACACAGGTCTCCCTATGCTCTTCAGAGCATGGTCCACTAGGACATCTTAGTACAGACCCCTAGTGGTGCCTGTGAAGAGACGGGTGGTACAGAAAGCTAGCTGGATTCTTTTATCAGGCTGATGACTGATGAATCAATCAGCCATTCTTGACCAAACATCCTTACATAATAGGAACTATGTCTACTACTACGTAATCAAGAAATGGCAGGAGTTTTAAAGAAAACATTGAATCAAACACAGAATGCACTATAAAAGATATATTTTGTAAAATAATTAATTATGGTATATTCATTTACTAATCTATTTGTTTCACAAATATATACTGAGTGTCTATGTACCAAGCATTTTTAATGAGCTTTAGGTGAGAAGTTACCTATAAAACACAGTGAATTCCTTGGGAAAACATGACATTCTCCACTATTTACAATAGCAGATGGTAGAATCATAAGCAATTCAGAGCCCTCTGTTTATTGGCCCGCCCCATTTTAGAATGAGGATTTTGGCATCAAACTTTATAATAAGTCATTAATTGCACATTAAGGATAAAATAGTATTATCCCAAATATTTTATTTTTTCTGACATGGTGGCATAGCAATCTAAAAAGGCATTTTGATCAGCTATTTTCTGAAAACAATTCAAGAGCAAAACAGAATCACAGAATTAGGAGAGATTTTATCAGTTCTGTGTAATTGCTTATGAGGAAGAAGTTTAGATCCACAGAGATGAAGTAGTTACTCATGGTCCTAAAGCCCATCAGTAACATGCCTTGAGACACAACTGGAGATACCTGATTTCTAGGAGGTCCTTTCATTTATTAAGATGTTAGGTAGGATTTTTCTGAACTCCATTTCAAACTCAGCAAATACTGATCTTTTTGTACCCCAAACCATTCTTCCTGCAATCTTCCTCACCCCCAACCCCAACTCCATCTTTCTAAATGCTGAGTCCAAAATCCTTCAGGCACCCTTGACTCTTTCTCTTTCTATTGCACTCTATATTCAATCTACTAGCAAATTTTACCAGCTCTGACCTCCAAAATACATCCATAATCCAATTACGGTCATCACTTGGTATCCTTGGGGAACTGATTCCAGGGCCCCCATGGATACCAAAATCCAAAGATATTCACATCCCTTATATAAGCTGACATAGTATTTGCATATAATCTATGCACATACTCCCCTATACTTTAAATCATCTCTAGATTACTTAGAATGTGTAATATAATGTAAATGCTGTGTAAATAGTCGTTAACTATATTGTTTAGGGAAAAAAAAACAAGAAAAAAGTCTGTGTGTGCTCAATATGCCCTTTTTTGTTTGTTTGTTTTCCCAATATTTTCAGTCCACAGGTGTTTGGATTTGTGTATCAGAACTGAAGAACTGCAGATATAGAAGGCACACTGTATTTCTTAACATTTCCACCCTGGCCCAAGATACCATAAATTCTAGTCTGGTTTTCCTTACAGTCTGTTTTCCATGTATCAAGAGTGATCCTGCTAAAACTTAGGTGAGATCATTTCATTCTTTTGCTCAAAACCTTCCCTCACCATGCTCACCATGACTCACAGGGCTCTATATAATCTGCTCGCTCTGTGCTCCTCAACTTCTCTTCTCCCCCTTAGCCCCCTTGCTCACTGCACTCCAGCCGCCCAGATCCCCTTCCTGTGTCCATCCCCCTGCAGAGACATTGCTCATGCTATTCCCTTGGCCTGGAATTCTCATCCCTCAGCTATTTGCATGGCTGGTTTCCTCACCTCTCTTTCCTGCCTTACTCTTCTTCGTGGCACTTAACAATTTCTGACATGCATTTATTAATTTGCTTGTCTGTCTCCTCCCACTAAAATATAAGCTCCAGAAGAACAGCAGCTTTGGTGCATGTTCCCTCCTGTATTCCTAGCAGTGAACACAGCATATGGTGGGTAGTCAATAAATATTTATTGATTGAATGAGTTTTCTTAGGAGAAAACAGCCTTCAAAATGCTTAAATATTTATCACTGAATATATGTAAAAGTTGAATATGTTATTCTATCTTAAATATTAAAACCAATATTTAAATTCAGAGATCTAAAATATAGGCAAATGGTACTCTTTCAATAAATATATGTTTAAATGCCCTGTTTCTATATAATGCAAAGAATACTTTAGAAAAGGTCCATAGATAAAGATATGATCAGTTGTTTTTTTAATACCTTTATTTTTATTTATTTGTTTTTAATGTGGTGCTGAAGATCAGACCCAGTGCTTCAGGCATGCTAGGCAACTGCTCTACCATTGAGCCATAACCTCAGCCCTGATCAGTTGTTCTTTTTTTTTTTTTTTAAGTTTTTTTTTTTTTTTTAGAGAGAGAGAGAGAGAATTTTTTTTTAATATTTATTTTTTAGTCTTCGGCGGACACAACATCCCTGTTTGTATGTGGTGCTGAGGATCAAACCCAGGCTGCACGCATGCCAGGTGAGCGCACCACCGCTTGAGCCACATCCCCAGCCCTGATCAGTTGTTCTTAAAATAATGGGATCATGCTGAATCAAATGTTTCAACAAAGTGTTGCTTTATAGAGATTGGCTTAGACCAGCTACCAACTGCCATGAAGTCATAGCTATTTAGATGTGTAGCAGGCTTACATCTTCTAGAAGAATGCCCCTTCTGCAAAAGTCAATCATGTATCATAGGATGCTTCTTAAAGGAGCTAATGAAAGGCAACAGGGATCTCATAAGACAAGGCAAGGTCCACCTCACTGCAGAACCATGTGTTAGCAATCCTGCTTGTACTTGCTGTAAAAGGAGACAAATGAAGAAGATGGGCTGGGTGTGGAAACAGACATATATTAAAGAGACAAAATGTACAGATACAAAGATCAAGGAGAATTCTCTATGAGCCAAAAAATAAGAGCAAATAAGAACCTGAAAAAGAGAGGAGCTGGGGGTGTAGCTTAGTGGTGGTGAGTGTGTGCTTAGCATATATGTGGCCCTGGGTTCAATCCCCAGCACTGAAAAAGACAGAAAAGGCAAGGGGAAGCATGGGTGGGGGATGGAGAGAGAGAGAGAGAGAGAGAGACAGACAGACACAGAGACAAACAAAACTTTAAAGTGTCTGGGACAGTTTTGTCCAAAGGCCAGGGCAGGATAGTCTCAAAACAGTCTAGAGATAGATGCAAGTGAGTAATTAGGATTCCTTCAGTTAAGTCTAGAAATCTACCACCAAAATTTGAGTTAGAGATCACATATGCATTTAACTTGAGCTCAAACTTCTCCAGAAATCAAAGGTGGTGATCAAAAGAAATGGCTTAATCTGAAATTTGAGAATAAAGACAGTGTGAAATATATATCCATAATCCTCCCAAATTCAAAGACTGGCTACTATAAAAGTATTCAGACCAAAGGCACTGTGATTATCCACGGGTGGCCCATTGGTACTTTCCACCCAGACACTATGATTCAGCACTGCCCAAAAGGAATATAATGTAATCCATAAATGTGAGCATATATGTAACTTAAAATGTTCTAGGAGCTTGGCTTTTGAAAAAAGTAAAGCAAAATAGGTGAAAATAATTACAGTAGTATATTTTAACCCAATACAGCTAAAATTTTATCATTACAATATATAATAGATATGAAAAACTTCTTAACATAGTTTATATTCTCTTTTTCTTTCACATATTGAGCTTTCAAAAAGCCTTCATGTATTTTATACTTTACAAGACAATCTTTTTGTGTGTGTGTGTGTGTGTGTGTGTGTGTGTGTGTGTGGTGCTGGGGATCAAACCTAGAGTCTTGTGCATGTAAGGCAAGCACTCTACCAACTGAGCCATATTAGCAGCCCTGACATCTAATTGTTGACTAACACATTTCAAGAGCTCTAGAGCCACATGTGGCTTATGGCTATTATACTGGACAACATGGTTATCAAGTGTATGTATGTGCATATGCAATCTGTGTATCATATTTTAAAGAAGGCTTACCTAAACAGTACACAAGATTATACCTAAAGGTCTTATCTTGAAAAAAGTTTAGTTGTTCATTGGAATTTCCTATAAGTGCTAAACCACAGCAGGCTGAGTATAGAAAAGATAACATCAGATAAAGAAAGGCTGAAATCCTGGAATATAATCTCAGATAAAGAAATATATCCTCTTTCAACCTTAAGCACAGCAGTGAACTTGAGATCCTCCTCCAAATGAGACAGCCATACTACTTTTTCCACAAGAAATGGGGCTAATGAGTTCACAGTGAATATTAATACAGGACAAAAGCTAGTCCAATAATGAAAAAGGAATGAAGTAAAAGAAAGATAAACTTACATAAATTTGTAGCTTTCTCGCTTATTATTCACAAATCCATCTGCCAAATCACGAGGTATGATAATTTCCAAGCTAGGTGTTAAATTTTCATCATCATCTATGGAATAAATCTGTAAATATAAGAATAAATATAAAATGGTGAAATCACAGCTTGAACTATGACTGTGTTATTATGACTTGCATAATAATGGTATAAAATTGTACTTTTAAGATAAAATGTCATGGACAGGGAGATAGTTCAGTGGCAAAGTGTCTGCCTTGCATTCAAAAAGCCCTGGGTTCGACCCCCCAGTTCCAAGGGAAAAAAAAAAGATAAAATGTCAAAACAGTATAATTTTCCTCATTGAAATGTGTGCACTCAAACAAATATATGGAACAGAACAAGAGGTAAAACCTGAATCAATGCTATATGAAAACTCAGATCAGGGGCTGGGGATGTGGCTCAAGCGGTAGCGCGCTTGCCTGGCATGCGTGCGGCCTGGGTTCGATCCTCAGCACCACATACAAACAAAGGTGTTGTGTCCGCCAAAAACTAAAAATAAATAAATAAATATTAAAAAAAAAAAAAAAACTCAGATCAGCTGGGCGCAGTGGCTGAGGCAGTAGCATCTTAAGTTCAAAGCCAGCCTCATCAACAGCAAGGCACTGAGCAACTCAGTGAGACCCTGTCTCTAAATAAAATACAAAAACAGGGCTAGGGATGTGGCTCAGTGGATGAGTGCCCCTGAGTCAATCCCCAATACCAAAAAACAAACAAACAAAACAAAACAAAAACTCAGATCATCTCTGAATGATCTAAACACTCAAATTTGAGAATGTGAATGTTTCTGTTGTTGTCACTGAAAACTAATAGCCCTGAAAGCAACATATAATCTAAATACTGCTTTGGTATTTATCAAAAATAACATTTTACTATAACCAGTAAACATTTCTGAGTATTTACAAACTACTAGACACAGATAAAAGAATGAGAGTAATCTGAGCCTTCTCACAGAGCTGTGAGAATGCTCAAATTTAAGTTATGTTCAAAGAAGCCCAAGTTTCCATAAAATATATTCAGACATTTGATAAGACATGGGGCTTCAGAAGATACATGTACTTCATGTCTTTGATGTCATTTTCAACCCAGCCCAGCCACTAATTGGCAAGTGACCTGGGAGAAATCACTTAGCCTCTCTAAGCTGATATGGAAATGGAGGTCTTAATCAAAGCCCTACAACTGTAACCTTCTCTGTTTCTCTTCTCGGTTACCTACTTCTTTATTTATTGGCCAGGAAACCAAGACTCAAGCCTATAAAGAAATCATGTGGAAGAAGGAAAAGCATAATATTTAGTGTCCAAACACTGAGCTCAATTTACCAGCTGTGTGATCTGCCACCACTTTCAGAATCAAGGTTCCTTGTACATAAAGCAAATGAGAAAAACAGAACTGCCTCCCTTACAAGATTGCTGGGGGCACCAAATGATGTAATAGAAATGGAAGTATTTTGTAATGCACCATAAAAAAATCATTCATTAGATTTAGAGGATTTTTTTAAAAAAAGGTCTTTCACCAAGAAATAAAATTTTTTCTAACAGGCAATACTTCCTATTTAAGACCCATTTAGATGCTTGATTATGGGAGGAAAGTCATATTCCTAAGCAAGTAAACGTCCCCCTGAACCTCCAAAAGTATGAATAATTTCCTAAGTGGATTTTTATTGAAACCTCTCATTTAAAATGTGAACACTTCAGGTACAAAAGTGGCTTTGTAAAATAAAATTGTAGAAAGTTCGGGAACCAGGTTCAAGGCTTTCTGGCTAGATTTTCTCAAGAGGCATTCAAAGTATGTCCTGTAGAGCACTACACTACCAAATCTCCCTCCCCCCAAAAAACAGTTTAATAACTGCAGGTAAATGAAGGGAGTGTGTGAAACACCAAACATGCAAAAGTGAGGAGTGGCATGCATTTTAAAAAATCGATTTCTACCTGTTCTCAGCAGGTAGAAAAAAAAAAAAACTGATGGGTAGGAACAATGGCTCCTTGCTATCCGCCCCCCTTTACTCCTAAGCCAATCTTGAGTCATTAAGAAAAGTAGGAAAACTTAGTCTAATATACTGGCTTTCTACTCTTAGTCATAAAAATATTTATTATCTGAGATAGGCTAGTTATTGTTTAGAAGACAGAACAAATGCAAGGATAAATATGAAAATGTGTTTGAAATGTACAAAGCACTGTAGAAATGGAAAGTGCTGCCATTGCTAAAATTATCAGATCCATACAATATATCTTCTTTATTAGTCTACAAATTATTATAATTTAATATATGTCTTAAGGAATAGGATTAATATACAGCCTTTGAATCATTCTTGGTTTAATATTACAAATAGCATTTTTTTAAAGAGAGAGAGAGAGAGAATTTTTTAATATTTATTTTTTAGTTATCGGCAGACACAACATCTTTGTTTGTATGTGGTGCTGAGGATCAAACCTGGGCCACAGGCATGCCAGGCGAGCGCGCTACCGCTTGAGCCACATCCCCAGCCCTACAAATAGCATTTGTAGTCAGAGAAATAATCATACAATCTTTTGTAGACAAAAAGATACAGTGCTAAAATATGGAGTTTCTAAAGGAAAATAGGAATATACTAACTCTGTATTTATTCATTCCCATTCTTTTTGTGAATGTGGCATGTAACATTTCAAAGAATCTGATATCATGAAATGCAACACGGCACCTAAAGGTACCTCTGGAGGATCAAGTAATCCCCTTCTTAGACTCATCTAAGAAGTGGGAAAGGAGGCACATTAAAAGAGCCAAACCCTGCATTTTAAGAAAAGAGAAAGTTAGGGGTTGCTGATGTGGCTGAGTGATAGAGCACATGCCTGGTAGAGACAGACAGAAAGATAGCAATATTAAATCCAGGCCTCTCCATCAATTTCCCAACCTTACTCATCTTTTCATTTTGCCAGAGCATCTGCTTTTGACTGCAAAGTCTCTGTAAACTCAATGCTTTTAGTCAAGACTCTGTGGGTAGATGTTGCATACAATATACTTTTTACATGCGTTTTATATGCACTTTAAGAAAATCTTTGTGTAGGTGATTGTAAAAGGAGGGAATAAATGGGAAGATACTATGGTTCTTTCCATACTGCTTTATATCTTTAACACAATATTCTTTGAGTCTTCTTATGCATCTTTTGCTTAATGTACTCGTCAAGAAAAAGAGTTATCATCATCATGATGATAAACATTGATTTCTCCTTGTTTTAAATACATAAGTTATATGAGGCAAATGCAAAGTTATTAGTTACTATGATGTTATACACACACACACACACACACACACACACAATATAGATATGGGGTGGAAATAAAACATACATAATATACCTACTCTAAGAACTCACAAGTATGACTCAAGTTGCCCTTGCCTAAATTCTCACTCTGGGAATGATTTTTTTTCCTGCCTGAAACAGGAATAGCTAGCTTGGGGCGGGGGCGGGGGGGGGGGGGGCTGGAATCCTTAATTAAAATCACAGTTCTGCAACTCACCAGCTGGATACTCTGGTCACATTACTTAATCCAAGAGACTCAGTTTCCTCATTAAAATGAGAGAAATGACACCCACCTTGCAGGGTTCTTGAAAGGATCAAAAAATGCAGATTAAGCCCCGGTCAAGTAGCAATTTCTCAAGACCTGGTAAGAATGCCTATATTCTCCTCTAGGCAAAGAAAACACTATTTTGAAACATTTAAGAAGATTACAAAGTATCTCTGCTCAGAGCCAAGGTTAATGCCTTACTTAACATTCTTTGTAATCTGAATTAGCACACTAGAGAAAGCACCTAGTAAATACTCATAGATGTTTTCTGAATGAAGCATATATGTGTATTCTGTGTGTCAGGATGCTTAAATATACCTACAATGAATATACATCAAAATCACGTGTTTGTTGCAGAATGACAATATAGAAAAGAAATTCCTGAGGGCCCACTGACTGCAAAGTATTAAATAAGTGTATGCTTTGTGTATCTGTCTATATTTGTATCATTTCAGACATTTAGAAGCATGCATCTCTTACACATATTTTGCCCCAGTGGGAAAACACGTTTCAGTGTACCTGTGTGTATGGAGTTGTGACAGTTTCCCTGAAAGGTGCGGTAAATGCCGGGGTATGACTGAGGCGCAGTCTCTGGGAGTGCGCAAACAGGCGAGCCTGCCCTGCGTGGGCACTTGAGCTCTGTGCCCGGTTTGCGGCCGCAGGGCTGTGAGGGGTGGAAATGGACTGGGTGACTGTAGCCCCTCACCGCGTGCAGCGGCAACTGCGTGGCCGCAGGGGCTCTCGGTCAGTGCGTGCGGGATTCCCGGCCGCACCCCCGCCCTGGCCGAGCCCTCTCCCGGGGCCGGACCCTCACGTGCCCCACACCCGCGGCCTGGAGGCCCCACCGCGCTGGCGCCCCCGCCGTACCCCTGATTGCTGCTTCCGAGCAGGGGGCTTTACCCTCGCGAAAATCTGGATCGTCTGCTTCACCATCTCTTCCCTGGCTCTGCACTGACCCTTGACCTCTTTCAGGCCTTAGCTTCCAAAACTTGTTACTCCCACCACCTCCAGCTCCCCTCAGCCTTAGCAACAGTAACTAGGAACACTACCCAACGAGCACCGCGGCATCCAGAACCCCGCCTCCTCTCCCTAATTGGTCGCAGACCTGGAGGGACGGCCCTAAGGGAGAGGTTGAGGGGTGGAGTTGGGGCGGGGCCGAGAGGAGAGCAGTGCGCTTGCGCGTGGGCAGGGCTCTGGGGACGGTGGTTAGAAGTGATAAGTGCCTTGTATACCTTGCCTGGTTCCTTAACCTGTTCCTTCCTCGTGTCTTCGCCTCTTTTTATCACTGAGATCATTTTTGCATTTTATCGTGCCCTCATTGGAGAAATGATACTTGATCTGTGACACGCAGTATCCTGGCTGAGAATCTCGAATCGAGCAAAACTGCCCTGGCCCACTTGGAGATCAGGGTCTGAAGAATCACAGAAAGTTACAACCCAGGGAAAATTTCTATGCTAAAATAGGGTTAAGCACGGTATTCTGTCTAGCTCTGTTTCGGAAGGGTAAGACTGGAGGAAGGGGATTGCCTCCCATTTAAGTCATGTCAAGAAAGAATGGGCTTCTCAAAAGACACTTTAGTATCCACAAAGATGCTCAACCTCGTTATCCTCCAAGGAAATATAAATTTAAACCACAGTGAGATATATCACTATGCGTCTATCACAATGGCTGAAATGCTGACAAAGTTGCAGAGAAAATGAAATCACTCATACTTTACTAGCGGAAATGTTCATATACTATAAAATGGTTTGATCTTTTTTTCAAAACTGAAAGTGCAATTACTCTGAGACCTGGCAGTTGCACTCTTGGGCATTTATCCCAGAGAAATGAAAACTTGTGTTTACACAAAAACTCTAATGTGAACATTGACAGCACCTTAATTTATAAGAGTCCCAAACTGGAAATAACTCAGGTGTACTTCAGCTGATGAATGGTTAAGCAAATTGAGAAATACTGCTCATCAATAACAAAGACAGAACTATTGATATATTAAACAACTTGGATGAACTTCCAGGGAATTCTGTTGTGTAAAAGAAGCCAAAGTCAGAAGTTAAATACTGTATGATCCCACTTATATAACAGTCTTGAAATGACAAAATTACAGAGATGGAGAGAAGATTAGTGGTTGTCAGGGAGGTAGAGAGGGCACGAAGTGGCTATGGTTGTAAAGAAATCCTTGTGATGTACTGTTCTGTATCTGACTGGGATGGTGGTCACAGAAATCCACACATATAGTAGCATTGCATGGAACAAAACACACACACACACACACACACACACACACGTGCATGGAAAGCCTTCAAGTCAAACAAGTTGGAATAAGATCAATGATTGTAGCAGTGTCAATTCCCGGATTGTTATATTATACCACAGCTATGTAAGATATTACTATTGTGGGAAACTGGGGGAAGGGTATGCAAGTTCTCTCTATTATTTTTTACAACTACATGCAAATCTACAATTATCTCAAACTAAATAGCTTTTTAAAGAAAATTAAAAGGCAAACCACAGACTGGGAGAAAACTTTTGCAAAGCATAAGTGATAAGGGACTTACACCCAGGATCTATACAAAACTTTTCAAACCAAACTCAATTGATAGAAAAATACACAATCCAATTTAAAAAAAAGAGGGGGGCACAGCCAAAATATTTAAACAAACACTTTACCAGAAGGATATATGAAGGCTGGAGTTGCAGCTCAGTGGTGGAGTACTTCTTACTTACCTAGCAGGCACAAGGCCCCTGATTCAATCCCTAGTATCACCACACACACACACACACACACACACACACACACACACAGCCTGGCAAATAAGCACATGAAATTGATGCTCAATATCATTTATCATTATTGAGGTGCCAATTAAAACCACAATGAGACACTACAACATGCCCCTTATGAAGGCTAAAAATAAGAAAATGAAACTGTCAATATCAAGTGCTGACACAGACACAGCATCTAGAACTCTCAAATATCACTAGTAAGAAAGCAAGATAAACCAGCCACTTTGAAGAACAGTTGTACTTACCACAGGACGAAGCAATCCTGATGCCAACATGGGAATTTTGACTTGATGACAGTAGAGATGAAAACAAGCCAGGGGAGAGAACACACAGGCAAGGATTTTATTAGGACTTCTACTAAGAGAAGGGACCAGAGTGTGAGGCTGGCTCCCCAAAGGAAAGGGTTAGTTTTATTTTCGTGAAAGGGTTTTTTGCAAGGAAGCTAAGGTTTAGGAATGTTAATTGTCTTTGGATAAATTTCAAAGCGGTGTGTGTGTGGGGGGGTGTGTGTGTGTGTTTTCTATGAGAGCACTTTAACTGAGGAAGGCAAGGTCAGTGGTCATTCTGGAGTCAAATGTTAGTTTTTCACATCCACACTGCGTTCTGTATAAGCATCTCCATCTTGTGATAAGGACAAGTTGCTGTAGCTGTTAAAAGAATGCACAGGTGGAAGATGGAAGAGAACATAAATCATGGCCAGTAACAAGTTAAGGGCCCTGGGAATTTGCCATTTTTATGACTCCTCAATGGTTTATGCTTTATGTTGTTTGTCCTTGGAGGGTCATGGCAAGAGCATCCTGGCCCTAATGAGGCACCTGGTCTCTGAAGCTATTCAGGTGTTTGAGGGATGGGTAAGGCACATACCAGGCTTATCATACCTAAGAGGCCATGAGTTAAGGTGGGAGAACAGACCCAAAGGCTTATACCATCTCCTAATGGTTGTCAGGCTATGAGTTAAGAGCCAGTAGTGCATTCGCCCTTTGTCCCTATGCTGGTCTCTAACTGTCTAGTTCGTGTGCCTAAATATTTACCCAAGTAAAATGAAGACACAGAGAAACCTAAACAGGAATATCTATTCCTAATTGCCAAACACTGTAAACAAAGTAAAATGTTGTTCAACTGAAAAAAATAGATAAGCAAACTGGTACAGCCATATAATAAAAGGGAATGAACTGAATGCGCCCACAAGAACATAGTTAAATCTCAGATTGATTATTCTGAGTGAGAAGTGCCTGACTCAAGGTTACAATTTTAAAATTCCATTTATACAACATTCTGGAAAAAGGAAAAACTATAGGGATCAAAAACAGATCAGTGGCTTCCAGGGGCTGGGAGTAGGGAAAGGGGTTGACTGCAGTGAACATCAGAGAGGTGTGTATGTGGGAGATGATGGACCTGTCTCATACTGTGATTGTGATTGAGGTTGTGGTCACATGACTATTATGCATTTGACAAAACTCATAGAACAACCTATATACTTAAAAGAGTATACTGTAGGTTAATTATACCATAAAAAGAAAAGGAAGGGGAAGAATGGGGTATGAACGGGTGTAGCAGTACCTACAGATGGAAGAGGAAGCAGGTATTTATTAAGTGACTTTGAGAGCTTTTTACCTAGTGAGGAAGTGATCATTCAAGATTGGACAATCTGGCATATGGTGCAGGTATTTACCTGGACAGGTAAAACTGATTCAGTTGGGGGAGAGGGAGAAATGAGAAGCTGGGGGCATGATAAAGTTCAAGGTTCTATGGAACTTTAACAGGGAGTTGGATAAAGTTTAGGAGAAAGCTGTGGCTGAGAATATGAATTTGGGAATCCTCGCAAAGACCTGTTTCCAGAAACCAACCGAGTTATTCAAGAAGACTGAGTCTGAAATGCTAACACCAACAGTTGGAGGAGCAAAGGAGGCCACACAGGAAGCTGAAGAGAGTGGCTGGCAGGGTCTTTGAGAGAAAATGGAATGTTACATGGAAGTCAGGGGAAGAGAACATTCTGAGAAGAAGAAAGTGTTCAACAGTGTTGGACACTAAAAAGGATGTCCTAAAAATATCCGTTTGACTTAGCAGCCAGAAGGCATTAGTGATCTAGATGGTGGTTTCAGTGGCGTAGTGGGGTCAGAAGGCAGGTTGTAAGACACGGAGGAGAGAGTGGGAGGTTAGGAAGTGGAGGAAGCCAAGATAGGGACCTCCTCCAGAAGCTTGCTTGCCAAAAGTTGTACAGGAGCAAAACCCAGGGTAAAAGCTAGAGGAACCCAGAGTGAGGAAGGGTCTTTTGTTCGCCTCCAAGGAGGTAAATCCAATAGAAAAGGAGAGGATGAAGGTATAGAAAAAGAGAAAGTGGAAGATGGTTGCCCCAGAGCAGGTGGTATTTTAACAAGAGGGTACCATGAGAGGTCAGAGGCAAAAGAGCCAAGGGTACGTGCCAAAGGTCACTGTAGGCATTGAATTAGGACATCTCGGTTGATTGAAAGATGCCAGTGGCCTTTGATGTGAAGGAGTGTTGAACAGGATTGCAGGAAAATCTATGGGTCCAGGAAGTGGGAACTTTAATATAAGGCTCTGGGTCATAGGATCAAATGCATTGATAAGGAGGAAGTATAAATTCAAATCCTGAGACTTATCATTCCTGAGAGTGTGACCTTGGGAAGCAATTTATGTTTTCATGTCTCAGTTGGTTCATCCAGTATGTGGGGATGGTTAATAGCTACCTCATGGAGTTATCATAGAGATTAAATGGTGGCATGTTAGTAAAAATGTGTATGTGGAAGGTGATGGTACACTGGTACACAGTACTCAGTGAATAGAGGACATTTATACACATAGGATTCTGATCCCTGGATTGGATTCCTTTGGGCTCCTAAAGAACAGACACTATGGCACAAATATGTCTCTACGGCTCGCTGGGATTGTAAACTCAATACTTCCCATGGCCTAATCTGTGATGTAAATACCTTAAGCAGACAAGGAGAAGGAACAGGAATTGGGTAACGAAAAGGGAGACTAGTGTCCCAACTAAAAAGCATTGGAAAGACAGTCAAATGAATGGGACAGAACTTTCCTATGTTCATATATGAATCCAGAACCCTTGAAACTCCACATCATGTACAACCACAGCATGGAGTCCTAATTTGAATAAATTATACTCCATGTACGTATAATGTGTCAAAATATGTTCTACCGTCATGTATATCTAAAAAGAATAAATAAAATACATTAAAATGTGTTTTTTTAAT